TCCTTGCACAGCCTGAAGACAATGGCTGTTGTCTTTTTTTTTTCCTTTGGTTGGTTATGTGGCCTAAACTCTGGGCCTGGGTGTTGTCCCTTAGCTTTTCAGCTCAAGGCAAGTGGGCTCTACCACTTGAGCCACAGCACCACTTCTGGCTTTTTCTGCTTATGTGGTGCTGAGGAATCACAACCAGGGCCTCATGCATGCAAGGCAAGCACTCTACCACTGAGCCACCTTCCCAGCCCCTAAGGGCTGTTGTCTTACTCATTCCTGCATCCCAGCCCTTAACATGGATTCTAGAAGATATGTTTAATGCCCAATGAAGGGATGTGAATTTTATTCTTTAATTTTCAGTGAGGCAGAATTGGAACTTACAATCATCCAATTTTAGCTCATTATGGGAGGCAACTTTGGACAGGTTTGACCTAAGTTTGGGGCTTAGGTGACCTTACATTGAGTCCTAGCTCCACTGCTAGGCAATCTAACATAAACCATGAAAATATTCTGGGCTTGGGTCTGCTCATCTGAGGAGATGACAGAGGACATCCTAACTCTGACATCCACATACTAAAATACCAACAACTGAAGCCACAGGGATCTGATTTCTAGAAAGCCATGGGAGTGCCTGACATGATTATTTGCCAGCTGGTTGCACCCATTTTCACTTCCTTCTCTGCCATAACTGCTGCAGGTGGAAGAAGTTGCCTCTGCACAGGAACTGATAAAGTCTTAATAAGATAAAACATCAGCACTGTGTGGGTTAATTCATGCCTGAAACAAGTAGAGACAGCATCACATCATAAACATCAAGGGTACACCTGCCCAGCTGGGCCTCACCCAGGGAATCCTCCTTCAACAGAACAAAGGGGCCTGAGGCAGAAGGGAGAAAAGGAAGGAGGGGCAAGGGAGACAAAGGAGGACAAAAGCCTCTTGAGCCTCCTTGCCTCAGGTCTCAGTGAACAAGGCTGCAAGAATGCTCCCTCTACCCCAGATCTCCTCGACCAGCTTCTCCTTTAAAGCAACACTAATTCAGTTTCCCTTAAATGAGAAAACTAAGGCCCAAGGAACGACTGGCTAAAACATGGCCAAATGCACAGCTAGTGAATCCATAATTCTTTTTTTGTTGGGACCAGTACTGGGGCTTGAACACAGAGCATGGGCGCTGTCCCTGAGCTATTGCACTCAAGGCTAGCACTCTACCACTTTGAGTCACAGTTCCACTTCTGGTTTTCTGATAGTTAATTGGAGATAAGAGTCTCAGGGACTTTTCTGCCCATGATGGCTTAGAGCTGTGACCCTCAGATCTCCTGAGTAGGCAAGGATGTAAGCCACCAGTGCCTGGCTGCCCATAGGTTGTTGTTGTTGGTGGTGGTGGTGGTGGTGGTGGTGGAAGGGCTTGAACTCTGGACCTGGGCGCTGTCCCTCAGCTCTTCAGCTCAAGGCAAGTGCCCTACCACTTGAACCACAGCGCCACTTTTGTTTTTTTCTGTTTACGTAGTGCTGAGGAATCAAACCCAGGGCCTTATGCATACAAGGCAAGCACACTACCACTGAGCCACCTTCCCAACCCCTGCCCATAGTTTTTAATATAACATCAAACACTCTGGGTCCTAGGTAGCTAGCTATGGGTCAGGCTTCTAAAGCCAGCACAGTAAAGGTAAGGGCTCAGGAAAAGAGGCCTTGCAGGTGCTAAAACTTGATCACTGGCCCCAAGCACTCTGAGAGTGACAGTGTTCCTAAACCAGGCCTGGGAAACCAGGTGCGGGGAGCAAAGCCTGGCCTCACCATGATCCTGGCAAGTAGCTTATAAACCAATGTCAAATGTTATCTTAAGGGCTATACTGCTCATTTGCAGCTGAGAAGCTGGTAACAAAACCCTGGCAAGTGTAGATGCTAAAGAGACAGCTCAAAAGTAGCAGCTTAGAGCCCCTGGGCTCTGGTGACTCACATCTATAATCTTCGCTGTTCAAGAATCAGATCCAAAGCATTGCAATTTGAAGCCAGCCCAGGCAGAAAAGTCTTGGGAGTTTAAAATAACCACCAAAAAGGGAGCTAGGTTCCCTACCACAAGCATGGCTCAAGTGGTAAAGCACCAGCCAAGCAATCAAGTCCAAGCAAGTATGAGTTCAAACCCCCAGTACCAGCAAAAAGTAACTAAATAATAACTGTATAGATAAATGAAACAAAGGCCAGCTCATCAATGTGATGACACAGTAAGCAACAGGAGGTACCCTCAAACCCACCTATGTCTTTAAGTATGGTAGAACTGGCCACTTGCAGTGAGCTCTCATTTATGTGTCACAGCCTCCAGCTCTCATCCCATGGGGTGACTAACTGGCTGTAGCTCCATCTTCTCCCACTCACATTGAGAATTCAGTTTTGAACAAATGCTCAAATCAAGCAAGTTAACAGAGTGGGCATACCTGAGGGTGGGGCATTTGGGAATTGCCACCCCTACCTACTCCCCCCCCCCGCCCTGTCCCCAACTAATACAGTCTGGACTTAGAATACCAACTCCATCAAGTTACCTGAGTGTGAGTAGAAGGCAAAGACTATACTAAAAAGGACACTGGACTACAGTGCTACAGTGTCCTTTCCTGAACTCTTTCCTGCCCCCCCCCCGAAGTCAACCCAACCCTCTGGTACCTCAGATCTTATTAGAAACAAGAACATTTTAAAGGATTTCAAAAACAATGTTCAAGAAAGGTATATGTGAAAATTAAAAGGAAGCATTATCTAGTCCTATTGTTTTTGTTTTGGATGTTGTCTTTTTTTTGGGGGGGGGGGTCCAGTTGTGGAGCCTGAACTCGGCCTGGGCGCGGTCCCTCAGCTCTTCAGCTCAAGGCTAGCGCTCTACCACTTGAGCCACAGCACCACTTCCAGCTTTTTCTTTTTGCTTATGTGGTGCTGAGGAATTGAACCCAGGGCCTCTGGCATGCAAGGCAAGCACTCTACCACTGAGCCAACTTCCCAGCCCTGGATGTTGTCTTTTTTTGTGGATGCTATTTTTGTTTTTTTCTGGAAAGGATTTCATTCTGCAGATCCAGCTGACCTTGAACTCCCCCCCCCCTAGGTTTTAAAATCATTAAAATCATCATCTCCTTTCATTCCTTCTCCACAGACGTGGCTTTCTTCCTAACGTAGTCCATTTGTGTTTCTATAACAAAATACCTTACACTGGAAACCTGGGGATAGTATTAGCATCCCCTGTGCTAGAATTACAAGCACACACCACTACACTTTTTCTTTTCTTTGTAGGGCTCAGATTCACTCACTGTCCTATAAGGTCAGGACAGATACCAAATGTTGAGCACCCTCTTCAGCTGTGTTACTGCATGTCTTCCTCCCAGGCAGAAGTTCTAGGTGGAGATCCCTGGCTTGTCTCCCTCTACTGCCATCTGTACACACTTCATGCCACCCTTGAGGCAGCTTCACAGTACCTTCTGTTCTAGCAAAGGGCAGGAGGCAAAGGGCACTATTCAGTTGCAAAGGCCACTGGACTCAAGGGAGTGATGCGGGCTCTCTTCTCATCATCTCTGGACGGTTCTTGCCACACAAGCCATAGCCAAGGGACACTGGGAGCCTTTGCTCAACATTTCACAAAAAAGCAAGTACCCAACTGGAAGGAGAGCTGCTTTTTTTCTTGAGCAACTGATAAAGTTGGACGTGAGCCTTAAAGTTCCAGTCAGAACCAAACCTTCTGGGTGCCACATAAGCTGAACAGATGATCTTGTTGTACCCCTTCAGGAGCAACACAGAGGGTCTCAACTAAATCATATACCCCTATAAACGAGTATGGGAAAGGGGAGGTTCTAATTCCTAGAAGCTGTATGAATAACTGAACTCTAATTCTTACAAGCTATATGAACCTGAACTGTTTTGCATTGGTGAAAGGAGGATGATTCTTTAATCACCTCTACAAGAGATTTTTAAAAAATTAAAGGAATAGAATGCCATAGACTTGATGTATAATAATTCTTACTCACTTCATCAATGATTCATCAATTTTTGCCTAAAATGTGATTTGCTGGTGGGTTTCCTGAAAGCTGAGCAAGATTTCAGGAACATCTAAACTTTATAAGCTGACTCTATGACATTGCTTCTCAAAATAAAACTTTCCCTTTTTAGTTTGTTTTTTTTTTCTTGCCGTGTGTGTGTGTGTGTGTGTGTGTGTGTGTGTGTGTGTGTGCCCTTCCTGTAGCTTGAACTCAAGACCTAGACACAGGCTCTGAGATTATTTTTTCTTCTCAGAGCTAGCTTTCTACCACGTGAGCCACAGCTCAAGAGACATTCCTGCTGGGGCTGACTTGGAACCGCGATCTTCAGCTCTCAGCCTCCGGAGTATCTAAGATGAAGGCCACTGGGGTCCAGCAACACTTGGCATTTTAAGTAGATCCATCTACTGGGTGTAGTGGGAAAATGTTTGGAAAGCACAAACTAAGTCGGGGGCTGGGCAATCGGGGCTGTGGAAACAGCATGGTGTGATTCGGGTAGGGAGAACAACGTGGTTTGAATCTCAAGTCCAGTACCGACCGCCCTGGGGCCTGCGGCTGTGCGCCCAGCTCCCACCGGCTGCCCGCTGGGCCTCCACAGGGCCGTGGCGCGGCCCCGCCGGGCGCCTGCACCTGCCCAGGCCCAGGATGAGCTGTGTCACTGCGGCCCGGTTCACCTCTGCGTTCCCACGCCGCCTCTCCGACTTACAGGGGGGAGGGAGAGGAGGCGCCCCAATTTGGAGCTGGGGTTTTGGGGGGGGGCGGTGGTACTTTTCTTGGGGAGGAGGGCACGCGCCCCCGGGGCTGGAGCAAGCTCCCCCAGTTGCACAGGACCGCGGGCACTTTGCCTCGCCTCCCTCCTCGGGGCAGGTCTGCACCCCCCCACCCCAGGCTTCGTCCTCAGACCCGCGCTCGGTGCTGCGTCTCCGGGCAGGGGAAGGTGGCGTGCACGGTGTTCAGGGAGTTCGGGCCGCTACACCTCCCCACGTCTACCAACCCGCGCGCTGCCCACCAGCCCCGCCGGGATCCTCACCTGCCCCGCCTCCGTGGACCTCACGGGCTTGGCCAAGACTTGCGGACCACGCTCGCCACAGGTGCACCTCTCCCGCCCGCCTGGCTCCCGAATGGGGCCGGGGTGCCGCGCACCACGGCTTTAAGCCGGCATCGGCCGGGCCCGCGCCTGCGCACCCAGCGCCGGCTCCCCGCGCGCTCCCACGTGACCTGCCCCGCCCCCCGCCGAGGCGCGCTGACCACGCCCCTTGGCCCGCCCCTCCGCGGGGGCGCGCGCGCTGAGGCTTTTGGCGGGGCAGGTGCAGTGCTTGTTCAGCTCACGCCGTTGCTGATGGTCCAGGGAAGTCCCCGAATCCTTGCTAGAAGCACCTTTTACAACTCCTTCCCAGCCTGGGTATTCAAGTGTGCACCTGGAAAGTTTTTTGTTGTTGTTTGGTGTGTGGTGTGTGGTGTGGTGTGTGTGTGTGTGTGTGTGTGTGTGCATTCCCTGAACCCGGGGTCTGAGTGCCCGTCCTTGAGCCTTTTTGTTCAAGGCTAGCTCTCTACCACTTGGCTTCATTTCCACTTCTGGCTTTTTGCTGCTTAAATGGAGATAAAGAATCTCACGGGTTTGTCTCCCTGGAGCTGGCTTTGAACCGTGATCCTTAGATCTAAGCCTCCTGAGTAGTTGGGATTACAGGTGTGAGCCACCAGGCCTGGTAGAGACCGCGCCTGCACAGTTTTGATGGTTTTGTGTGTTTGCTTGTTAGTTTGGGCTTGGCTGCAGAGGGCATTCTGGACTGCTGCCTTTGAGGAGTGTCCCTCCATCAGATTTAGAATTGTCAGCCTCCATCCTCATTCCACACTCCTTTTTTACTACATGAGGTCAGTGCCCAGAAAGAGTGCTGAGCCTCAGCCAACAGAAATGGCTTCTGGTTAGCTGCCTGCTCCTCACATTCTGACAGGAGTTTGTCCCCTTCACATTCATCTATCTGGTTTTTCTTTTCTTACCGTAAACGAATGGTACATTGTGGTATTTTCATACATGCATGCATATATATATATATATATATATATACATATCTTTGATCAGACATCCCCTCTATGACTGTTTCATTAAAGAAACAGAAAATATATAATACAAGAAAACATCAAACATCTTCCACATCAGGCTGAACAAAACAGTGACTTCTTTCCCCTTTCATTCCCTTCAATACCAATCCTACCCACACTCACATGAGTTTAACTTTTGAGACTTTTGGGGAGTAGCAGTGAAGAAGGAGCTGCAGGAGCAGAAGAGCCTTAAATCTGGCCTCTTTATGTCCCAAGAGAAAGGAGCCATGGGCCCAGTCATCAAAGCTGAAGTTTATTTGGTAGGTCTATAAAGTAGTTGTTCACCTTCCTGTTCTGTATTCAAGTCCCCAGGGAAAGGTCTAGCAGTAGCAAATGACTAGGTTTGAGCTTCTCAGGTCAGAGCTATTAAAGCATCCACTGTTCACCAATGCTCCATTATCTCTGGAGGACAGTGAGCTGATTCTCCAGTGGGGAATGGAGAATTACACATCAATTGGGATCTGCAAGCCAATGTATCCCTGAGGAAAAGTCTGGAAGAACAATCTAAGAAACTAGTACAAATCAGGGCCAGAAAGCTGTGGTACAAAAGTACTGCAGGCTTCTGGAAGGCTACAGATCCTTTCTCTTAAGGCCAGGATCATTTCCCCCAGTCATAGTCAAAGTTCCACAAATAATATTTCACTTTCAGGCAAACAGAGGGAGCTGGGTGCCAATGGTTCACACCTGTAATCTTAGCTACTGGGGGAATGTGTGTGGAGGGGAAGAGGGGATTCAGATCTGAGGAATGTGGTTTGAAGCTGTCCCAGGCAGAAAAATCCATGAGACCCTTATCACCAATTAACCACAAAAGAAAGAAGTGGAACTGTAGCTTAAGTGGTAGAGTACCAACTTTGAGCAAAAAAGTTCAGGGACATCTTCCAGGCCCTGAGTTCAAACCTTCAGTACTGGCACTAAGAAAGAAAGAGAGGGAGGGGAAGGAAAGAAGGAAGGAAGGAAGAAAGGAAGGATGGAAGGAAGGAAGGAAGGAAAAGGAAAGAAGGGAGGGAGGGAGGGAGAGAAGGGAAGGGAGGAGGAAGGGAGGGAGGGAAAGAAGGAAAAAACAGGGGTGAAGATGGCTTACTTGAGCTTGAGCCTCAGCTATGTTCTTCAGATAACTACCCTTTTACCTAAGACAGTCTCTGTCAAAAGCTACTAAGTATTCAAATGTTTTTTTCTTTCTTGCAATTATTTCTAACATATTTATAAGATGATTTCTTTGTTGCTTTGTATATCCCTCCCCCATGGTATAACCCTGCTTTCATTGTATTTGATGTTGATATAATTTGTGGAGGGTAAGGGCAAAAACAAATCCTTTAAATATGGATACAGATGGACCCATTGCAACAATGAGATGTACAAGACGTTATGTTGAAAACGAACTTTACAACTTTGGCTGAGTGGGGGGGAGTGGGGGGGGGATGGGAAGGGAGAGGAAGGGGAAACAAAGAGGAGGCCACAATGCTTGGTAAGAAATGTACTCATTATCTTGCCCATGTAATTGTAACCCCTCTGTATGGTATTTTACAATAAAAAATTAAAAATAAATAAAATAAAGACACTGTGCTTGGAAAACAAGATAGTCCTAGTGGAATAGTAGTATTGAAGGGGTAATATTCCATTTGAGTACATTTCACCCAGTGTATCCCCTGGTCTGGAGAAAGCAGCTGGATGTGTGCCAGGCAGGTTCTCGACATTCTAGGAAATGGAACCAAACTTTTGCCCACAGAAGCTGTCATTCTTGAAAAGGAAGCCAAGTTTAGACCTACAGTTGGGCTTGCAAAAAGAGGTGTGTTAATACCTACAAGGCCTGCTGGAAAAGAGCCTAGGTGCCAAGCTGCCTGGGAGGAAACAACTTGACCATGGCCTAATCACCAGTGGACCTTAGGAAGTCAGCTGGACTTGGACCTTCTACTCTTTCTGAACCGCCTCCCCCATGCCTTTCCTTTTAAAGTTTATTTTTATTGGGTTTCAAAATGTTATCTGTGCATAATATATAATACTTTGATCCCCATAATCCTTTTCTTTCTTCTTCCTTCCCCTCCTTGGTTCCCCTTTCCAACAACTCAACTTTTACAATCATACCATAATGTTGTTGTTGTTATTTTAGGTTTACATTCTACATGAGAACAAAAAACATAAGATGCTTTTCTGAGCTACTATGGAAATCAATAGCACACACACACACACACACACAAACTATAGCAGGCACAATGGCTCACAGCTACTTGATAGGAAGAAATTGAGGTTCCAGGCCAGCCCAGAAAAAGCAATTAGCAAGATACCCCATCTTAACCAACAAGCTGAGAGGGGCTTACACCTATGGTCCCAGTATGCAAGAGGCATAAATAAGAGGATCATGGTCCTGCTATATCATACCTGGGCATATGTCTGAAGACATATAAATCAACATACTATAGAGATTTCTGCACATCATATTTATTGCAGCACTATTCACAGTATCCAAGCGATGAAATCAGCCTACGTGTCTAATGATCAGTGAACACATAAAGAAAATGTATGTGTATGTCCCTCCCCCATAGTATAACCCTTGCTTTCACTGTATTTGATGTTGGTATAATTTGTGGAGGGGAAGGGAAAAAACAAATAGTTTAACTAGGGATACAGGTGGACCCATTGCAACAATGAGATGTATAAGTTGTTATGTCGAAAAACAAACTTTACAACTTTAGTGGGGGAGGATGGGGGTGGTGGGTGGGGGATGGAAATGGGAAGGGATAGGAAGGGGAAACAAAGGAAGAGGCAACAATGCTTGATAAGAACTGTTGTTCTCATTATCTTGCCCCTGTAATTGTAACTCCTCTGTATGGTATTTTCAAAATAAAAAAAGAAAAGAAAATGTACGTGTACAGGTTGGAGATGATAGTGGTGATTTTTTTTCTTTTGTTTGTTTGGTATGTACCCAGGTAGACCTCAAACTCAAGGCCCTTCTGCCTCAGTGTCCTGGGTATTGGGATTCTAGGTGTGTGGTAGCACAACCACATTTGCTCTTGTGCTCCTCAGATAAGCCCACACAATTCTGTAAAAGATAGGTAGTGAAGAGAACATAGTTTTAGAGATTGGATTAACTGAATCACAAGAAAAGATTTAAAATATCAGCGGAGGTAAACTGGACAAGTCATGAGTCATGCAGGCTGGTACATGTATATTGATCAAAGGTATGGATCTGTCTGCAGTAATCTCTCCCCTTTATCGCCCCAGGCTAATGGTGTACAAAGTCCATCCAAAAGCTTTCCTGATATGCCTCTCTGACTTCAACTCCAGCTGACCATCTTCCGTGTGAATTTATGGCAACACTCAAACCATAGAATCAGTTCAATGGCTCTTTTCCTAGCAAGATGGTAAATATTTTTGCTGCATTCCAGGACCTCAGAGCCTGGTCCAGCATTCAGTTGTACCTGGGAAGCTTTGTGAAAGGAAGGGGTGGGTCTAAATTAGAGAGTGAGAGAAAATCAACCAGATAGAATGTTCATGCAGTTTCCTTGCACATGTAGGCTTCTGACTGAAGGCCCAACATATGATTAATACCACTCAGTACAACCTGGATATAGTCAAAAGAGGCCATGTACCTCCAGATATCCTTTTTCCTGTCTGTCTCATTTCCGCCTACCTATAAAGAGGTACAAAGAAGGCTCACTGTCTACATTTCTGACATAGGTGAGGAAATTTGCAGGGAAGGCCACTTCAAACAGGAAGTAATTTTTTTTGGGGGGGACATGGGCACCCAGAAACTGACCCTAATGACAGCACCATTTAGGGGTTACGAACAGCAAAATTTTGGGTTGGGGGATGCTCTGAGGCTCTGAGGCTCTGCTTACCAGTCAAGTGCAAAATACTGTGATTATATCTTCACTTCTGTAACATCCCAACTTGAGGATTTCAGAGACCAGGCAAGCACAGAGAGCTAATTAATATGCACCACACACTCTCAAGTTTCTCTCTGTACAAGAAGGCACAGGCTGAACTCATTAAACTGCCATCAGAACACAAAAATAAGTTATGGGCAAGCAGGCACAGGAAATTTTATTTACAAAACTCCAAGATGTATAT